TCAAGATTTATACACATCGATTTTAGACGCACTGGCCATTACATTCTTTAAGTTAATTTTCCTTGGTGTCTGTTGTGATGGATGGTGTTTGGCTTCTTCTCGGCTTGCGGTTACAATTTCCATTTTTGAGTTTGTCCCATTTACAAAATGAAGAGGTTCTTGACAATGTGATGACAAAATGGGACAATCTAGTAACCAGGATGTTTGGGATAGTATTTTGATCATCATCAATTCAAGAAGGCCATGATTGATTGTTGCTGAAGGGAATTTTATTCCAGATATTTCAAGTGTAGGGCCTGATTTATGGTTCCAGGTTTTCCAGCACCCTACCCGTGATCAACAAAGTGGTTAACGTCTAGGACCTGCTACATTTAGTCAGAACTCAAAACATTCTTGTTGTAAGAAGCGACTAACGGGATCGGGGGGTCAGGCTCGCTGATTTGGTTGATGCATATCATCGTATCATAATTGCGTAGGTCGATTTCATGGTGTCAATAAATCGATTGTCTGGTCCATTATTTATAGACCGTCATAAAGCTGGAAAGTTGTGGCGTTAAACAGCACACAAACAAAAACCTTCCACACTTCGGGCTTGCTTCCATGTTGATGTAACTTGAATAAAGTTGTCAGCAGTGATAAACCCATCAACTCCCTCACGACCTCAAGATGAGGTTCGTGACATGCGTGTAGACACTCAACAAACAATCCTATTAAGGGAATTAAAAAAGAAACCTTTTCGCAAATACTAAATTATATTTTGTAAACGCTATCATGTTAAATTTCCCATGGGCCACTAAGTATATATAGTGGTATTTGCAGCCGCAGTCATACATCAGATTTGAATGCGTCCAAGCATACAGTCCTCTCGCGTGCCCCAAGGGTTTGCATGTACGCTCAAAGTACGCTCACGCCTTGCACGACTCATTAATAACCAGTTGAGACACACATAACTACAGGTGGGCTTGAGAAAACACACAGAAGATGAAAGGGAACAGCGCCGTGAGGTTCTATTTGGCGAGTCGACAGTATATATTCATGAATTGAACTCTGAATCGAACAAGGGGTCTCACGTTTGTTTAGAGAAATAACAGAAAACAGAGAGAATTCCTAATATTGCCAGGTACTATAACACAGAAATCAATAGACCAAACACTGCAATGTTAATAGGCACCTGCCCTGTCCAAATTGGTTATTGTTATCGCACAGGTAATTGTTTCGTTAACGTACAATCACATTACGTTTTGTGTATTATTATTGTATCTAAGTATTGTTTCATATGATAAAAAATTACATTTGTCATGTAGAGAATAACGTTGGGTCATTCATATCTAAATATAGTCATAGTTTAGCAGTGCAGTTTGTGTTAACCAGAGTTCAATGGTTTAAACAGACTATACAACAGACCGCCATCGAGCAAAGGCTACATCATTTGAGGAGATATCAATCCCGAACTGGAGAGCTGAGCCATCTGTGTAATGCATTAATGCATTATGATAAATATTTGTCATAGTACGTTATTCACATTGGGATTATTACGAGTGTTGAGTGCATTCTGCTCTGCAACATCAGGTAACGAAACAAACACTTAGCTTTCATACCCCAAAATGAGTGGCCTCTTCGCTAAATCTGATTCAAATAATTTTAACTGCTATTATTATTTTTAAGGCCGATGGAATCTAATTTTTGTATAACTGAGACTTTGATATCATGTTTTTTCAACATGTAACAGTGAAGCATGTTACATTCAGGTGAGTGAGTTGGAATGACTGTCTCGAGGAATAGATCATCACATAGCGTCATGTAAGACAGACCGTACTGGCAGACTTTTACCAGGACCGTTGTGCTTACAAACACTAACAACACGAAGTCCACGGTCCACGGTCAGCGGATCCTGTCACGGCAAAAGAAACGCAACTCTGCACATTGAATTGTGGTGGTATGGAGCCACTGGTGCCTAACTGCATGACAATTTTCAGCATATGTTTAGGGAAAATAACAGCAAAATTACTTAATATACTTGAACTTAACTGCTAACTTAATACAGTTGCCATGGAAAATAATTATCAAGTCCAAATATCATTATAGATTTTTAAAAAACGCATGTTTAAAACGTTCGTTTGCCACGTCGGTTTCCAAAATTAGCACAATATGTGAAGTGATTCTAGGAGGTAATGGCCACCGGAGTTTGATGAAAACGGCATAAACCTATACTCACTTGCTGCCAATGTTTACGCGTTTTGAGCCCTTGCCAAAGCGAGGATGTGTAACGTTCATGTTTGGTCATACACCACTCTATTTAACAAAAAAGTAAGCAAACGAGGCACACATTGTCTATTACCGTTTTTTTCGTCAGTGTGGTTGCCATGGAAACAGCATATTATTGAGATGAAGATGATTTGAAGAACCTAAGATAGACCATAATGGAAATAGACATTCAAAGATTCAGGGATTTTTTGCTCTTGGGGTTTTGGTGGAATATGTAAAACAGAACTTTGTCTTCAGGGCAAGTTTTACATCACACAGTCCGACGACGTTGAAGGATATGTGTGTTATCAAGAATTATATCAATACTTAAGAGAATATATGACTAGCAACAGTTTCCACATACAGTTCAGAAAACACTTTTTCAATTTGCATTTTGTCATTTAAGATACCGCAAGACTATCCATCCACAGAGGGTATAATTTTAAAGATTGCATTCACCTAAAAACATCAAGCGAAAATATATTCAGCATTTAATACCATAAAAGTGCATAGCTTTATCGATAAAATACTGGTAGGTGTGATACGATGCTTTATTAGCCAGGAAAATTCATACAAATTCGTCTGGGGAGATCTGATAGTAGCAAAGTGTGGTAAAGGTTCCAATCATCATCTCTAAAGAACTGTCGATGAAGTCATCACCGGCCCTCATACGACGTGAAGCTATTGGCAGATTCCGTGCAAGATGGCTTCCAACCAGAACATCCTTTATCCCACGACATTTATACATCGACGTCCGAATGATTTACTCGCCCGGCGGAGAAAGGCAGGGGAAATTTCCTTTGAAATGAGCAGGTTATGGTATTCGAGCCATTTTATCATCGACGGTTCGCACCAGGAAAATGAGAGAAAGCACGACACAAACATAACGTGTGTTCGCAGTATATGCCAGCCAAAGGACACTTCGGGGTTTAAAATGACCATTTCGCACAAACTCACCATCTGGGACTGAAACGAGTAGACCTCCAAATATTGCCATAGCATGTTTAATGTCTTGTGCATGCTAAATATGTCCCTAAATACCATAAAGTCTATTGAGGAAATGAAAAATATCAATAATTGCTTTCTAAAACTGTTGATTTGGACACTTTCTTATAATTCTGGCGGAGGCAACTGAAAGATGAAAGAGAGCATTTGTGCACCATCCATATAACAGTTCTAGATCTAAGCTGGTATGGTGTCAGACAAATACACAGGACACATTTGTGGGACGTACAAATGCCAGTGGTTGTTATTGGTGAAAGATCAAACTACAGAAAGCTTCTGAACAAAGTCTGCACGATCAATGTCATCTTAACAATTGTAGATGTAGGAACCATGCAAGACACAAAGAACACATAAATGTTTATGCATAGAACAAAGCTCGCACTCAAGATGGAGCTCCGTGTTCCAGAGAAGGAGCGGAACGTTTACAACAACGACACCAGGCAACTCGGACAACGACAACAAATACAGAAGGATCTATTTACCTTACATCCATGTTACATTAACTCAGTGCAGTTCAGTCTTCGTAATTCAAAAGGAATGGTAATTAAAACAAGCTTTCCTATCCAAACTTGCTATTACATAAAGGGTCTATAAGAATAATCAACCGCTCATGTATTTGGGACTTATAGAACTCTATTACAATGAAATTTGACAGAATACTGCACACTGATATACATTCAATGTTTATATACAATGACCATATCGCCCTACATGAGATTACTGATTGTTCTCCATTTCCCACATCAATACCACCACGACGATATTTGAGTTGGATTTGAGTAACAATGTTGACGCAAAGATCAATACTGATATATCAGGGACATTATCCTTATTTACAGAGTTCCTTTCAATGGTTTATTGACACAGTTACTGTAACAAAAGGGTGCTTATGACAAATATATTACTGTAAATCCTGGTAATCACAAATGTAGGTAAAGGCCAGACCTGTATTGGCCTACATTTGCTGTACGTGTCATTAGCCCTCATATGGCGACTGTTTCTTGTTTTATAACCTGTGAACCCTTAACATTTCAACGTCCTGTAATAAACTGACAGCATGAAAAGACTATGTTTATCTTGTATTTTAATGTACAACAAATACGTCTTTTTCTGACTTTTACATTCAAGTTAAATACTTATATGATTTGGGAAGTGGGTAGTGTTATGTTCCCGCCATCATTCAGACCAGAGACCAGCATATAAGTACCATGATGACAAGGTTCTTCTCAATATTCTGCCCTCAGATGCCCCAAATGCATCACGTCATGCAACACAGACGGAAGATGCAGCCAATCAATCAACTGTATTGATGCTTTCACTGAGGCGAAAACCCGATGTTTGCCGCCTGAAGCAATAAGGACAGCGCAAAAAACATAGCAATTCTTGTATCAACAAGTTTGAAGATTGGGTTTTCACACCTCGTTGTTTACAGCAGGTGATCATTTGGTGAATTTAATTAATTACAGAGAACACAATAACGAAAACCTGCCAACAAAAGGGTTTATTTCGTGTAAATGGTTCTTCGGGCGCTAATTAAATATCGCTTACTGGTTTGGTTGCCCTTGTTATTGCAACAGAACTGATACAATATGCCGCACTTGTCCCTGCCGGGGCATTATTCCTCAGTTTATGAAGATCATTGCATGTTCATAGGTCATTTGCCTGATATGGAAGTTCTAAAAGCATCATGCACCATCAACATCATCATTGTGGACAATACACCAGGGGTAGACGAGAATACTTGTACTTACCCTTAAAAGGTTCAATTGATCATGAGCCACAACCAGCACAATCCAAGGCACTTGAGCTGTCCGCTGCTATCCCTGTTGTACAGTGTTATCTAGATATCCATAAGGCCAACTATGGGTGAGCTAGGCTACTGACTGACACACTGGGAATGGCTTCTGTTCCATCGTTCTCCCCACCAGCGCTGTGGCCATCAGGGAATACGAAACACAAAAATCAATGAGATTAGAACAACACAGAGCTTGCTATGCTCGTGCAGGGGCGGGTGATTTAGTTATGGCGATATTGCGCACCGTTCAACATCTTTTAATTTTCTATAAAGTGTGTATTGAAATTTTGCAGTGTTCAAACATCCGGGAGCATCCTCAGTGTGGGGCCTAAAGGCTTTTGGGGGAAGGTCATCCACGTGTTGGAGGAGCTCGTGCTGGAAAATGCCCAGATGCGTTTGGTCGATATGTTCTTATTGCGCGGCTCCCGTTCTTCAGTGACTGCTTGTGACTCACGAAGGAGTGCCTCTTGTAATGGTGATATTGTGTTATGTAAACACTGTAAAGGTATTGAGGATGAAACTTATATTGTTTATATTTGTAAACGCTCTGATGATATGCGTCGGCGTTACATTGCGAAAACGATCCATGGATATTACTATTCTCTCCACAGCATATATGTACAGGCATTAACATCATAAATATTTTTGTCAAGTTCTTAGAACATGTTTATTCTGTTCCTGTTAACGTTGTTATGTGAAAATGGTAACTAAAATCACTATTGTACCACCTTGTACGATAGGTTGTATGGCCTTTATACAAAAATAAACCCTTCTTCTTCTTCATGAAGGAGTGTTCGTGTTTTTTCCATTTATTGTTTGTTTGTATATTTTGTTTGTTTATTGTTGTCTGACGCCATACTCCTCACCAATAATCCAGGTAATTGATAATTATTTAATTTGGACAAGACGATCAAGTCGACATCAAGAACCGATTTACGGAATAGGGATATAATGACATAACATCAACCAAGTAAGAGAGCCTCCTGAGCACCTGATCCTGTGACTCTCCTCTTACGTAAAACATGCCGTGTGGAAGTCGCGTTTTAACGGAAATTCTCACGGGGATGCCCAGTTATCTGCTATAGTAAAAAAGATCAGACTGGTCATATCAATATGTATATAACGTGGATAAAGTAAACAGCCATATGGCTAATCATTAAAGCAATACATGTGTATGTTCGTGTCGTCACTGGAACTGAAGGGAAATAGAGACTTCATTTTACATGATACACATAAAGGGCACATTGAGTAGAGGTGTGTCTACGGTCACAACAATATTCCCATAACTGCTTAATCAGCTGGAATTAATAGGACGTAAGTAATCCAACCAGTGACTGACAGTATGAGCATCAACCCACTGAAAATCCCATCCAATCCCCTTGAGTCGCCTGTTACGAAAAGCATGAGATAGTGACGACCAGTGCATTACCGAAAAATCCACTGGGTTATTCAAGGCTGCAAATATCACATTAACACAATCCTCAGGATGGAGAGCACATATTGACATTTTTTAACATTATCGTTTATACACGCCATTGCAACGGGTAGAAGGACTTTCTTTGAAACGACACCAGAGTCAGCTATACTCCAGCTGTATGATAGTGGCCAGTTAAATGCAAGGCTGGACAAATAAGACCAGCCCAGTGATTGATGTAAGGAGCCACGTCCCAGGGGTTGGGGTGCGATGATGTGCAATCCACTAAATTACCGAGCCTGACCACCCGAACCATTAAGTCTCATGACCTGCATACTCTACTGGGAACATATTCTAACCCTGGGGATTAGGGTCGTAAGTGAGTGAGTTTGGTTTTAGCAACATTAGGGCAATATCACGATGGGAGACACCAGAAATGGGCTTCACACATTGTAGCCATGTGGTGAACCGAACCCGGGTCTTCAGCGTGTCGAGCAGAAGCTTTTACCATTAGTGTAACCCCGCCGCCCCTGGGGTGGTGAGAAAGTATGTTTTATAAGAAAATGTAATGAGGCACACAATCAATACAAAATGTGCATAAGAAACTGCATGTTAAACCTCAACCAGTATTAATCAATGGGAATGCGTGTCAAGGAGATAAACAGAACTAACTTTCCTTTCCACAGACAGCGTGAAAGCTGCGGTGATGAGAAAAGAGATATCCAGGCTCATTCATTATGTTCTACATCTCACTCGAACATTTGCCGAACGCACGTTCCGAAACGCAGCCTTGAAATATAATCAATATCCATTCAAACATGTTGCTATGGCGATATCAGTTTCACTTAGTGCCACCAAGCGGTCAGTTTGGAATTACCTCCCCTGGTATATCGACCCTCAGAACTCGCTGCGTCCATTGTGTATCGAGATTAAAGACATGTCTGCCTGCAATAACTCGGAACGCATTGGTCCCCGACTGTCGCTATGTTGCTGGCTGTTTACTATAGCAAAGGCTCTGTAATTGATTTTAGCGAAGTGGGACCTAATTATGAAAAGATTGACTTTTATCATTGTCCTGCACTTTGAACCACGGGGCGAGCAATGGAGCGTTAACATGCCCTTCTTAACACTCGTGATAGGGTAGTTCTGAGTTCGAATCCCCTATTTGGTCCTGGTCAGTCACATCAAACAATATGATACACTGATTATGGGTTTCCTAACAGTAACATATCTATGGCCTTTGTCACTGTGAGTCATTAAATCTCTCCCGAAAATTTACCAATATAGTGACTTTCAGACACAATCCTGTCCATACCAGTATTCATAAGAAACATTTCGCCCCAAACAGAATATATTTTACGACAAATATTCACAAAGATTATTTGCCAACAAATACCAGGATATTCGCTAAAAGTGGGCATATTCTGCTCCACCGACGCCACTGGTCACAAACACATGCAAACGCAAGTCAATTGTACACCTGAAAAAGCACACAGACATATCTTATCGCCTTACTTTACCTCTTTCTTCAATTGTATCAAATACGAAAGATTTCAAAGGTTGTATCTTTGTTCTTCCAAATTTAAAAACTTGCTCGAACGGCACAAATGTAGTATTTTGTGAGCATGAACCAGGAACAGCTGATTGTTAGTATACGCATCTGTCAGCTCATATCACGCTTGTGTCACAGACGTACTGAACGACAATGGCTGTTTCTCCTTCTTTCACTCCGTCACTGACCTGAAAAAATACCCAATGTTGGCCGGGTCGATGGTATAGCCTAGTGGTTAAAGCGTTCGCTCGCCACGCCGAAGACCCGGGTTCGATTCCACACATGGCCCAATGTGTAAAGCCCATTTCTGGAGAACACCGCCGTGATATTGATGGAATACTGCTTACAGCGGCGTAAAACTAGACTCACTCACTCCAGTGTTGCGTGAAGGTTCACTCATACGGCCGAAGTGGTCTAGTGGATAGACGGGTTATCTGTGGTTCGATTACCGGATGCGTCTTAGCAAAACACGATGAATTATGCTGGATGTTGCTATCCTAAGTGGCGTCGGTCATGAAGGGGCCTAGATGACTTACAGGCCCGGTATCTGTATCAAGTGGCTGAGTTTGGTATCTCTGTGTGATAGCAATAAGACGGCGTGAGACCGTCCACACACGCGCTCGGGTGCACAACCCCAATGACGTCGATGATATATATATATAAATATTCTCGAACGCGACGTTGAACCCATCAACCCAAGAAGCAAAACATTCCTGCTATGGACGGAGAGATGAAAGAGTTAGCTCCCTTGGTATAAGTGAACTTTTCTTTTGGTAACATATATGAGTGTATATGATAAATGAGGACCATTTGGGGACAGGTTCCTTTGCCATCATATTTACTGACATACGTTGTATCACCACGCCGACACATACATGTACAACAAGACGACACATATATCATGACTTAAACAAAGTTGTACACAATCTCAGTATTCCATGTTGGACACGGTGTACAGTTTCACATGCTGTTTCATACTGTCACAAATTACAGTGATAATCTGATATGATTTCCATGACAGGTTTCATATCGCTGATTGATGATTGGTTGGAAATTGCTGCACGCGAAGGCAACAAAACACACGTGAAGCTGAGGTAAAATATGTCAATGTGTCCAACTGTCACTACGAAATAGATAGCATTTCTTTATACTTGTTTCACCAGAATTAAAACATGCAACACATTAGCAAAGCTTTCAAACAGTTTATTGGAGACATGTGGAGGAGATGTCCTACTTTGACGCTGTGATGTGTTTTGTGAGGGTTGCCACCGGAGGGGGGTGGGATACGATCACATTTTGCGGACATCAAGTATCATTATAGAGATTTATGAACACATGCATATGATTTATAAGCAATCAACCAATGAACTCTGCTCTTACAAGAGGTTACTCGCGATCATGAAAAAAAGGATTTGGCTGATGTAATTATACAACATAAGCCAGTTATTTCCCAACATGAGACTAAATCCAGTCATATGTAAAACTGTCTATAATTCTACCAAACGCTACCACACTGACATCACGGGGCATACATCTAAGTGTCTGATCATCATTCCCGGGCCTGCTGTACACGATTAGTTCCGGTTTTGTTACCATGTCACAATTGTTTGTCAGTCCAAAAGAGCAAATCCTTGGACTGATTGTCGTCACATTTACCTGCTTAGTTCCCTAAGAACTAGGTGACATTAAATAGAACAGCGGCTTATCGCGAGACTATAACTATTTTCGTAAATTGATTAGTACCAATGAGTCCACAAACGCGAGAATAATGGTTTTATCTTTTCCAGGCCTTGGTGGTGTATTTTATGTATCACATATAACTGAGAATGTATCATTAAAAAACAAAACAAACAAAAACCCCACCAAAAAAAACACAAAAAAAACCCCAAAAACAAAAAAACAACTCGTTTACAGTAATTCTCAGCAGTGTGATATATATCACAGCATTTGACTAAGCAGAAACAACTGGATCTAGACAATCACACATGAGAGCGTAGTCAGTCTCCTGTGAACCCTTGGCCTATCACCTTTAAAATTTTCAGGCCGTGTTGAAATGTCCAATAATCATTCCCTTGTAACTACCTCGCCGATACATGCTTTCATGACACATACCACTCAGGCTGTGCGTCACTTGGATTTCCTATCTTGCTGTTTATGGAGGTATTTTACTATTTGATTTTCTTTTTCTCGTTTGAAATGAAAAGCATATCCTTGAA